CCTTTCCATTTCAACCCTCACCCCATGACCTGTTCAATCGTCGCATAAATGGAATAAGGTAATTATTAACTCAATCCTATCGTATATTATTTGTGTCAATGGTAGGAGTCGATAATTCATTCATAAACTGATATTCAATAAATTGAATAAGACGATGAAATAAATGTATTTATTTATGAAAGCACGGCTTGCAAAAACAAGATTGACTTTATTTTTTCGTTTGTGCTCTGTTTTTTTTTTTTTTTTTTGGTTTTGTTTTTGATTTGTTTAAACTAACCTCATCCATAGAAATTACGCTTTTGAATCTATTCAGCAGTATCGTATTAATGAAATGATATCTTCCGTCTTTCAACTCAGTCGATTCAATCTTGTCTGTGAATGTTTCCGATGGCTACAGCAGTTTGGAAGTCGTTCGAATGAAGCGACATAGAAGAACGTGTCGCGCCAGGGCTGGGTGAAAGTTCTGCATTTGGACACGACGGTTTCTAACGGGGATATACGCTGTTCTTCCGAGGCCGTGATTGTTCTCAGCTCCTGTCGAACTCTCTGCTTTCGAGCAGAGAGGAACCCGGACGAGGCTGTGCCGAAGGCCAGAGTTTCGTCCGAGGAGGTAGACGGACCCGGACCCGTTTATGCGGGTTCTACGGGGATTTTTTGGCCTAGCCGACGGGCTAGGATGACCCACGTTAAACTCGGCCTTGCGCCACATATAACCCTCGTTAGTGGGGGGGCTGTATAATATAATAGTGGTTTTTAATGCAGGCTTAGTGGATTTTCTGCCGTATATATATAGAACCAGAAACTTTACGTTACTTTCACTTTCGTACAAATATACTCGGGAAAGATATGATTATTTTCCTCCCCAGGTATGGGTTAAATAACAAGACAGACTGGGTTCTATAGTCTCCATAGTTTAATCATTGTAGCGACTCGATAAAATGGCTGACAACAGTCTAAAAATTAAAATGTAATGAAAATCGTTATCTACTGTCGTCTTGATTTTTTTTCTTTAATCGTTCCTGCTCGTTAAAAATGTTTCTACTTTATTTTATTCTTTCGCACTTTTCCATCTCTGTACCCTTGTATTCGTATCTCTTTCTGTTTCCATATCTGTACCCTTGTATTCGTATCTATCTATCTATCTATCTATCTATCTATCTATCTATCTATCTATCTATCTCGTTCTTTTTCCATCTCTGTACCCTTGTATTCCTATCTATCTATCTATCTATCTATCTATCTATCTATCTATCTATCTATTTCTTTATGTTTCCATCTCTGTACCCTTGTATTCGTATCTCTTTCTGTTTCCATCTCTGTACCCTTGTATTCGTATCTATCTATCTATCTATCTATCTATCTATCTATCTATCTATCTATCTCTTTCTGTCTCCATCTATGTACCCTTGTATTCGTATCTATCTATCTATCTATCTATCTATCTATCTATCTATCTATCTCTTTCTGTTTCCATCTCTGTACCCTTGTATTCGTATCTATCTATCTATCTATCTATCTATCTCGTTCTGTTTCCATCTCTGTACCCTTGTATTCCTATCTATCTATCTATCTATCTATCTATCTATCTATCTGTTAGAGAAATAATTGAGAGCATATTGTAAGGACATTGGAATAGTGATACTTGTCGAGACAACATAGTTCAATCTAACCAAATCTAATAGTCATTACTAATACTTCTACTTCTTTGTATTATATTTCTGTTGTAATATATCTTTGTATTCCATACCTGTGTTCATGTTATTCTTTCATTGGTTCTAACCTTGGACCATCACCGTGGTACAAGGAACTTGGACTATAACAATTACTTAAACAAGGGCAGCTGTGGCAGGAATTTCGTTTCCTGCCAATATCCCAGTATCCGAACTTGAGGAATAGCTTCTCTCAAAGCGTTGTTATTTTTCATTTTGAAATATTAGACTTGTTTTACTATCAAGGGGTCAGAATCGGTTGTAAATGGTGAGACGTAGCGCACTCTATATGCCAAATTCATAACTCATTTCACCGACCTTCGATTTAATTCTGGAGATATTTTATTTGAAAAAAAATTGCTTCTTATAAGCAGCAAGATACGTTTAATTAATTATTAATCAGTAGTTTTTCACGTTGGGAAATATTCATTATAAACAATTTTTTGTTTATAGCAGCGTTTTAACTTCTCTCTTTTTAGAGTATCTACGAAATGGCACTTTCAGAAATATTTTGCCACACAATTCTTCTTATTTTAGATACATAAACGGTAACCAAATGATATATCCACGTGACGCAATTTTATCAAACTTTGTGAATGGACTTTAACAGTCTTTAACCCACGATAGATGTTCTTTTTGAAAATCATAACACATTAACCTCCATAATATCTTATGCTAAATAGAACCACTAACCACAGCTTCCATTAAAAGTTTACATAAAATCTTTCAACAAAATGACCACAGAAACTATTATTCTCACCAATGTAACAGAACAAAATCGAGAGTAATTATAATAATTTATTTAAGAGCATTAAAATCTGCATCCCCGAATATTTACCTAAAAAAGAAATATATATTGAAAATACTTTTAAAAACCTCCAGTATTATTATATCTACACTGCTAATAGAAAAGTATAAAAGAATCTACAAGAAAGATAATAGCAATAAAGAGAATAACAATAATAATGATAATACATTAAATAAAAATAAATATATTATTAACTAACAACGCATTATCTTCCCCTATTCAAAATAAAATATAGAATCTAAATTTTAAATTAATTATGACTAAATCCAAAACTATTATAAATGATCAAAACCAAAAGTATCAATAATATTAATAATTCTGAGCAGGGCCAGATTACTGATGATGAGTCCCAAAATATAGGTCGAAACGGCTCTCCAGTGCTTTCTGCATTCTGTTAAGGTTTCTTCTAGACTCGATGAATTACATAATTATAATTATCTCAAAAATCCTCCTAATAATTTCTACCACACACACACACACACACACACACACACATATATATATATATATATATTTTATTCGACATTTATATATATATAATTACTTACTTAAAAATATGATTCCATCGCTGCATAAATCTCATGTTTCAAAACAAGAGCCGAAAACTTCGAAATAATTATTTGAGTTAAATTGAATTAAAGTACCAAGCTCTGTTCCATCTTCAAGCGAATTTGTTTTGGAATAACTACTTCCTGATATTTACGCGTTTTATAAGCATATTCATTATTAAAATTAAAATTACTATGGTAACGGCTAGAGCAATTATTTAAAAAAAAAAAGGAGGCGTAAGGGTTAATAATATGTATCAATATCTCAGTTACATTCAAAGAGGTCAAGTCAGGGTAAGGTTGGGGTGTCTAAATTCAAAGCGGAGGATGTAATCTTTGAATTTAGACAATTTAATTCAAATAATTATATTGAAGTTTTCGACTCTTGTTTTGAAACATGAGAACTCTTATGTAGCGATGGAATCATATTTTTAAATAAATAATTATATATATATATATATATATATATATATATATATATATATATATATATATTTTTATTTATCAATCCGACAGCTGGTGAGCGTATATTTTTCTTCACAAAAGTAGAGCCAGTAGTAAGTAAATCCAAAAATAAATAAACATATTGTTTGATAAATAAGTGGAGCGTCTACAAAGATAGAAGTATCCATTAAAAATTACGTTTAAAGCGATAAAAAATATATGTATATGCACACATACATGCATAAATATATAAACGCATATATATACACAGGAAATATCTGAGATAGATAGATAGATAGATAGATAGATAGATAGATAGATAGATAGATAGATAGATATATCTGAACAAACTGAGGTAGATGTGAATAGAAAGACAGATTGTTAGTTATGAACAGCCTGAAATAGGTAGATAGATAGATAGATATGAAAAGACTGAGATAGATAGATAGATAGATAGATAGATAGATAGATAGATAGATAGATATGAACAGATTGAGATAGATAATGAACAGACTGATAGATAGATAGATAGATAGATAGATAGATAGATAGATAGATAGATAGATAGATAGATCAGCAACAGACTGAGATAGATAGATTAGGAACAGACTGAGATAGATAGATAGATAGATAGATAGATAGATAGATAGATAGATATGAACAGATTGAGATAGATAGATAATGAACAGACTGATAGATAGATAGATAGATAGATAGATAGATAGATCATGAACAGACTGAGATAGATAGATAGATAGATAGATAGATAGATAGATAGATATATATATAGATAGATAGATCAGGAACAGACTGAGATAGATAGATTAGGAACAGACTGAGATAGATAGATAGATAGATAGATAGATAGATAGATAGATAATGAACATATAGATAGATAGATTTCTTTAGTTGCTTATTTCCTGTCACACCCAAACTCATACGTCTCTCTCAAATATGCATGTGTACAGCATGCTTTCCGGTAAACGCCATCTGGCAATAGAACTTGCTAAGAAATACAAATTAACAAAAAAAATAATGGGGGAAGAAAACCTGAAAGTTTCTCTCTTTTGTGGTCAATTTTTCTATTTTTGCCACACAATAAACTGGGCTGTCAATGAAGTTTAGTTTGAATCCTGCTGTATGAAACCGGTAAAGTATTTTCTGCTAGCTTCTCCCGTAAACCCCGAGGAAGTGTTGTAAGCTTTGTTGGAGCGCAGAGTCGATTTTCTATGGAACTCCGTCACCAGCAAAATCCCTCGGGAGATAAACAGGCAGAATAGATAGCATTATTAAATAAAGTCTTGATCCTTGAAGAACTTCCCGGGACCTCTGTTCGGTACCGTACTTCCCAAGAGGCATATTGCGCCGAAAATGAGGAAAATGCGCCACCAGGCAAGTTCCTGGCGGACTGGTGCAACCGCAAGGGACGCTGGGATTTCCCATATGAAAAGAAGAGAATAAAGGAAATGCAGAGAGAAGGGTCAACAACATGCGAAACGACGGAGGGTGACCCGACCTGATTGTTGGCAGGCTTCGTCTGTTGCTGACTTCAGTTTACGGACGCCTCGGGTGTGTCAGCCGGCTTGAGCAGGCAGGAAGAAGGCAACGGAACAAGTCACAAAACGAGATAGTAAGAAATAATGAAGGACACATACACACACACACACACACACACACACACACACACACATATGTATATATATATATATATATATATATATATATATATATATATATAGATAGATAGATACATACATACATACATACATACATACATACATACATAGATATATTATGTTTATACTTTATTTTTTATAGATACTATATATTTATGTAAATGCTCTGTTTTTAATTAATCAGTATTAATTACATTTACCGGCCTGAATGTTCGAGAAATTTCGTAGAAAATATGCATTCTCCGACAGGAATCGAAGCTGTATCCCTATACGGAAACCGTCATTTGACCTGACGTGTCATACCTTTCAGCTACAGCGAAGCGTCAGTTTAGGAAAGTCCAAATTACTTTTTTATAAGCACAATCTTCAAAGGATCATACCATTATTTTTGTTAAGTTTTGTATGAAAATGGAGATCTGATGAATTAGGAGCAAAATCCCGGTCATAAGGAAATAAATTATAATACCATGAACCCTTAAAGTTGTCTGTTTTTTAATATATACACACCAGAAGTGTTGAAACAAAATGCCTATTTTTGTAGTGATTTAATGACATATTTATGTTATAATTTTTGAATAAATAATTACACACACACACACACACATACACACACACACACATATATCTATATCTATATCTATATATATATATATTACTTCAAACGTTATTATTTTTAAACTGTTCCGAGGTATTCACCAAGAATAGCGTTTATGTAATATAAATGTAGAATAAAAATGCATCAATTTTTTAGAAATTGCTTTCTTTTCGTGAAAATAATCGGAGTAAAGCAGATATGCTTTCTTTAAAAAGGGAAATAAATTTGTGTGACGTTCCTCATGGCCGAGTAGTAAAGCACATCGTATAAACGTTGTTTTTCTCTGTAGATGGCGAACAGGTTCTCTGCCGATGAACAGATTTTCTTTACTAAGAAAACGTTCGAAGTAATATATATATATATATATATATGTGTGTGTGTGTGTGTGTAAATAAGATATATATATATAAATAAATTGTAAATTGATTGCACGTTTATTGTAATTTAAATAACTGATCCATGTGCGTCTTTTGGTTAATAAGTGCGACATTACTGTAATTATTGAACAATATAGTTCATGCCACTTTGACAGTAAAATTTACCAGTAAAATAATTTGTTCATTACCATATTTGGTATAAACGCAAACATTTAAAAAAGAAATTCAAAATCAAACTCAGCGTTGCATTGGCGCGTTCAAAAAACCAATATCTCATTTTCAATAGCATTTCGGATACAATACACATATATTTTCGATGTCCTCTTATTACTAAGAGAAAAAAAACAAGAACAACATGTATTATATACCTGAAGATGTCTGTATGAACAGACGAAAGCTTGTGTAAAATAATAACTAATACGGCAGAAATTTATATGAACAAGGATCAATTCATTCATAACGGATCTAAGGTTTTTGTGTACTATTTGAATTGTTTGCGAGATGGATGTCTCGCCATTTAAAATCATTAACCTTTTGCATTAGTTTTGTGTGAATAATTCATGTATATATATATATATATATATGTGTGTGTGTGTGTGTGTGTGTGTGTGTGTGTGTGAGAGAGAGAGAGAGAGAAAGAGACATTATTTGTCCGAACTCGTTTTGCTTACTCTTACATTTTCTTGACACATAGTCGTGTAGTCATGAAGTATGTTATTTACTTTGAAAGTTAGTACCGCTAACTCATGCTTTGCTCATTCACACGAAAATCGTGATTTCTGCATGCGGATTCCGACCTTGCCATTTTCGCAGAATACCCCCACATAAAAGTTTCGAAACTCTATACGTTTTAAAACATGGTCTATCAATGCGTTTTTTTTTAAAAAAAATCGTGTATGAACAATGCGAATCAACATGAATGATTTTCTGAACAATGCCAAACATGTTGTGCTTAGCGCTGTTGGAGGTGACAGGATGGTGAGGCTCGTGATCACATGCAGGCACTTTTTTTTTCGAAAACGAAGGATCTAAGCTGATTAGCTTAATCAGAGCCTGTCTAAAACACAAATTGTTATTATCAATATTTTTGAGTTTTATTTCTAATTTGCATATATGATTCTTGAATCAGCTGATTTGCATGCACGATTCTAGATTTAATGACAGTTGAAATTGAAAAGATGCTTTAGCATGATACCTAAAAATTCATGACCTTTTCTCACTTTAAACTAAACGTTTTGGACTTGATTAAATATATTTATTTCAGTCAGTTATGTGCCATGCGTGGTACACGCTTACGGGATCATGTATCTTTCGATACATGCCTAACGAGGCAGATTTTTTCCCGCGGTAGGTTGCCATTTCTTTCTGCAGTAGACCAGCTGCCATCGAAGGCTATAGAACCCGGTCTGTCCTGCAATTTACCCATAACTGGAAGGAGAAGAAGAGGATTCATACCTTTCCCAAGGGTTTTAGCACGTAAGTAAATGTAATCGATTCGACTGGAAAATCAGTCAGTCAGTTATGTGACATGGGTGATACACGCTTACGCGATCATGTATCTTTCGATTCATGACTGACGAGGCAGATTTTTTCCCGCAGTAGGTTGCCATTTCTTTCTGTGTTAGACCAGTTGTCATCCAAGGCTATAGAACCCGGTCTGTCCTGCTATTTACCCATAGCTGGGGATAAGAAGAGGGTTCATGCCTTTCCAATGATATTAGCACGTAATTGAATGTAATGGATTCGACTGGAAAGTCAGTCAGTCAGTTATTTGCCATGCGTGATACACGCTTAGGTGATCATGTATCTCTCAATACATGACTAACGAGGCAGATTTTTTCCCGCGGTAGACCAGTTGCCATCCAAGGCTATAGAACGCGGTCTGTCCTGCTATTTACCCATATCTGGGGGGAGAAGAAGAGGATTTATAGCTTTCCCAAGGGTACTAGCAGGTAAGTGAATATAATGGATTTGACTGGAATTCGAACTCGGCTCCCCGATTCCTGAATCCGACCATCCATTAGTAAACTTAGTTGATGACAGGTTTCCAGAAATACTTTCTTAAATGCCAATATAAATCCAATGGATGACTTCTATTAAATATTGAAATGCCGCCCATGCGGGTAAATATACGAAAATACCCCCTTTTCTCGGCTAGTAATTGATTGGTGGAAAAATTTCCATCTTTCAACAGTCAGTACCAAGGCTTTAGATCTCTTCAAAATGAAAATTTAAAATACCTTTGGATATATTGGCGAATATCTGTCTGAGGCATTTTCCTCGTTCGGTGCTTTCATTATTACAGTTGTCTGTGTAATGACAAAATACGTAGGTGTAGGCTTTATTCAATTGAGAATTCAAGGTTCGCGTATAGTGTCCTTTTATAGTCCCAGTAAACAGAAATAGCTCTCTCAAAGTGGAGAGCAACAAAACAAGTACTCTTTGTTATGTTGTTGCCTTTTGTTTGTTTTCCAGTTTTCGACTGACGAAAATATTCGTCAGTCGTATTCAACCCCGGTATAGACTGAGTTCGTGTCGAAAATAGAAATTTAATTGTGAAAGATAAAATGAATAAATAAATAAAATAAAACAAAAAAACACGAACTCAGTCTATATGAGGGTTGAATAAGACTGACGAATATTTTCATCTGTCGAAATAAGCTTATTTCCCATATGAGATGATTTGGGATGTTATTGTGTATTAATTTTTTGCTCTGTAATAATAAACACATTGAGGTCTTTTTTGTGGATCAGTTTTAATATTTTATATTACTAGGATCCAATTGCATTATATACCAATGGATTTATTACCTTTATATATATATATATATATATATATATAAATATATATATATATATATATATATATATATATATATATATATATATATATATATATTCCAATAAGAGGAAAATGCATATTTTTAGAAAAAAAGAGAAACTGCAAACGTTTTTGGTTACAATGTGGATTTGTTTTAGTGTATAAATATTCACTAAAGCAAATCCACATCATAACCAATATCTCCATCTATAAAAGGCAGGGTGTGTGTGTGTGTGTGTGTGTGTGTGTGTGTGTGTGTGTAACGAATGCACGGCCACAATTTTTGACGGATTTGCACCAAAATTTACATGCACATGCTCCAAGTTAGTGGGAAGGCCAAGACCGACTTTGCATTTCCCAACTCCCATCAATAGTGGAAATAATCGATTTTTTCATGCTTCTACGGCAGTTTTCATGTAGTTTGTGGCCATTTTATACTGCCCAGAGTGAGAGCCAATAGCTGTCTGCCACGAATAGGCAGGAAGATTCTATTGGCCAGCGTGAGAGCCAACAGCTGACTGACACGAATGTTAACTAGCATACAAAAAATTCGATAGCTGCATTCGTCACAAGTGGGAAAAATTTAAATCTGCATGGCACTTTACTCCAATTGGTTCATTCGCTTGCTTTAACTCAACGTTGATTCTGATTCCGCAGAACTGGGTAGGGTGTGAAAAAGTATTTGTTGTTAACATTCTTTTTTCATTCGGTTTTTCCAGTTACGAGTCCTTTTTTTAAAGCTGATCATTTTGTGTTCATTTTGTTTAGTTCTTTTTTCGTAGCAGATTTAATGTTTAGTATAGAGCTTAGAAAAAATTCGCAGTGTGAGATAGGCAAGAAGTAAGGCATGTAGCAACATCAGCACGGCAAAGGGCATTTCTTTAACGGCAAGGAAGGGAAAAAATATGTTAAGTCAAGTGATAGCGATTGCTGTATGAGTCGTACGATTTTTGAATCAAGGACGGGCAAAGCCGGACCATGCTGGTAGTATATATATATATATATATATATATATATATATA